TATATGTTTCTCCTTTAATAAATTATTGTTCTCTCTTTTAGATCTGCAATACTTTTCCATCTATCCTTGATTATTTCCCAGGAATTCATAACAAATTATTTAAAAATATTGCTAGTTTAAGAAGTTATATTACGGAGAAAATAAAAGAACACCAAGAATCTTTGGACATTAACAATCCTCGAGACTTTATTGATTGTTTCCTCATCAAAATGGAGCAGGTAAAATGTTAGTAACAGCTCAGTCCTTTGAGTTCTTGCACAGTTTGATAGTTTATTGAATAGTTCTGTCTTTACTAGGAATGTTTCAATTCTTGGGCCTATAATGCTTGACAAGCATTTTAAGTGTACATAAAACTGCACTAAACATTGCAGAAAAGATATAATTAAATTGTTAAATAATTAGAATATATCGACCCTGTTCTTTAGATAAAAATAATCTACTGGAGGAGTAACAGAATGCACACCTCAGGTGGATGGAAACAATTACAAAAAATTAGAAAATACAAAATATCCTGTCATAATATGAAGATGTACAAGTGGTTTTTTCCCTCTTCTATATTTTGGAAAAATTTGAGTAAGAATTGGTTTTAATTCCTTTTAAATATTTTGGTGAAATTCAACAGTGAAGTCATCTGGTCCTGACCTTTCTTTTTCTTTTTCTTTCTTTTTGAGTTGTTGTTTACTAATTCGTTACTTGCTATAGGTGTGTTCGCATTTTCCGTTTTACCTTGAATCAATTTGGGTAATTTTTTGTTCATACGAAGCTTTCCATTTATCTGGATTATCTTATTTGTTGGTATACAATTGTTTATAGTATTCTTTTATGAGGATTTTATTATTATTATATTAGAATGTATAGTATCTTTTAGTTCTTAAAATCAGTAGTAATGTCCCTGTTTTCATTTTTGATTTATTTATTGTTCTCTCCTCTTTTTTATTTAGTCAGTTTAGCTGTTTGTCAATGTTGTCAAACTTTTCAAAGGACCAGTGTTTGGTGTCATTCATTTTTCTAATGCTTTTCTCATTTTTAAAAAATATCCTCTTTCTTCTGGTGGCCTTGAGGTCCTCTTTCTTCTGGTGGCTTTGAGTCTAGATTGCTGTTTTTTTTGCTAGTCCCTAGGTTGTAAAGTTAAGCTGTTGATTAGAGGTACAGTTGATATCTGGTATTATTCCAATCTTATATTTCTTTTTTTTTTTTTTTTTGTCTTTTTTCCGTGTCCGGCAACGGATCGCAACCCTCA